CAGGTCTGCTAGCTCCAGTGAACAGAGCCAAGCCCTGGGAGGCAGACACTTAGGCCTGGGGACTCCAGCGGTCTCGGGAGCTGCTCTGCATCCTGCTGCTCCTGGGAAGCAAACCCAGTCTGGAAAGTTTCTGACACTGGGACTATGTCCATGTGCACAGCCAGCTCTGTGTGGGTGGAGAGCCAGAACCCAGGGCTGACCGCGGCACCTATTAGCTCTGGGTTCACGGGCAAGTTCAATCCTCTCTCCAGCCGCTTGTTTCTGTGTCTGTTCAAAGGAGCTCCCTTTCGCTTCTAATTCCCTATAATCGAAGGAGACAAGCAATGGCTGGGAAATCCCAAACATCCAGGAATCAGATATTTCTATTTGACCCCATGTGCTGGGGTCAGAGAGCTCTGATTTCAAATTCTACCTCTCCTATTCATTAGCTATGTATCTTTGGGTAAATAACCTAACCTTTCTGATCCTCAATTTTCTCTCTTATAAACTGGGTATATAACCTTCCCTACTTTCTGGGGGTAATTGTGAGGCTGAAATGAGGTGATATACATAGAATTGCTTCACACACTGCCTGACACAGGGTAGCATCTGAAATGTTCTTCGAGAACAAGCTGTTGTTCGTGTTGTTATATGAATACAGGTGCAGCATTGCTCTCCAAACACACTTTGAGTGACAGGTGAAAGGCCCCGGTAGGAAAGTGGTCCATAGGGGGTTGGTAGGGTCTTGGGGAGAAAGAAGATGAAGGGAGGAAAAACCTAGGCTACTGCAGAGAGCGTGGGGCCTGGCTTTCTGTCTCCCTGTTTCATGCCATGTGACCTTGCTCAAGGGACTATATCACATTAGCCATCAGATTCTCTCTGTAAAACTGGGCTAGACAGTTTCTAGAGCCTCCCCCCAGGATTGAGATTCTAGGTTTTTTTTTTTTCTTCTAAATTATCTGCAAAGAAAATTTAACACATACAGATAATTAAGAAGCTAATGAAAAAATTCACAATATCACCAAAGGTGCAAGCTGGAAATGGCGCCCCTGCCCTGCCTTGGATTACCTTAATAAATAGGAGGGAGCAACGTGAACCGTGAACCTCTCCTAAGGAAGCTCTCACTCCCAGCCTTCATTTCCTCTCTAAAGATGATTAATCTTCACCGAAGGGGCCATCTCCTCTGGGCTTCTTTTATTGGTCATCTCCATTATCAGTTGGTGTGTGAGCTGGCATAATCTGGGATTAGATTTATTTTCCTTCTCTTTCTTTTTTATTTTTCTTTTTTGTTCTTTTTTTGGGGGGGGGGGCGGGTAGTACTGGAGATAGAAGGCAAGGGTGTTCTACCACTGAGCTACACTCCCCAGCCCTTTGTATTTCATTTTTGAGACAGAGTCTTGCTAAGTTGCTGAGGCTGGCCTCCGATTTGTGATCCTCCTGCCTCAGTCTTCTGAGTAGCTGGGATTACAGTTGTGTGTCACTGTACCCACTATGGATTTCCACTTTTGAGAACCCTTTGGTTTTTGCTTCTCTGTGATTTGTAGGTCTCTGGCCCCTGATTCCTTGAGTTCTTCGCTGTTATGGCAGTGTGGTAGAGAACACTTATCTATGGGTTCTGAACATCAGGTCTCATTCTTTCTTGGTCTCTAACTGCCTCTGTGATGTAATTTCTCCATGTTGGCTTCCTCAGCTGTAAAATGGGGTGTAAGCCAGGTCCACTTCACAGAGTGGTGTGAAGACCCATCATTTGGTGAAGGAATCAAAAGAGCAGACTTTCATTGCCTGTGTGTTCTGAGTCAGGCCCTGTGCTTAGCACTTTTCACACTGTCTCTTCTGACAACAGGTCACGAGATGAGGCCATCTCTATTTCCATTTTACAGTTGAGGAAGCTGACTTAGGTGGCCTTGCCCAAGGTCACAGTGCTGAGTCTTAGATTTTTGTGTGGGTCTTGAAGACAGTGCCTTGATCACTGTGCTATACTGTCACTCTAGAAAGTAAAAAGTGTCAAGAGGGAGGGGGTAGAAGACATGGGGGTAGGCAAGGGAGAAACCAAGGCTCAGAGAAGTCTAGGGATTGTTCATGATCACACAGCTAATTAGTGTAAGTGTTGGGGCTTCAGTGTCCAGAATCTCCACCACCATCATCATCATCGTCTTCGACATCGTCATTATCTTTAGCCAAAATATTTAGTAACATTCATAAAGCATTTACTGAGATGAATACTTTCCTGCATATGGTACACGTAATAACCTGATGAGGTCGGTGTGATAATCACCCCTGGGGTTTTACAGATGAGGAACTTGAGGCTTAAAGACATGAAGCAAATAAACTCCTTGCAGATGGAGAGTGAATTCAAATTCAGGTCTGTGACTCTATAGCAGGGGCTTTTAATCTCCACCCAGACAGAATAAGGATATGCTCTTATTCTTTCAGGAATCTGTAATAAGGAGATAAATCTGTTGGGTCATAAAAGGAAACCAGTGTGAGTAGGAATGGGAGGGTGCTGTGCAGATACCTGCTCTGACCTCAAAGAGCCAGTCCCCTTACATAACCAGGCAGTCCAGACTGTGACTTGGTTTGCTAACCACCTACCATTGAGGAAGACGAGTGCAAAGGTAATGGGTAGTGCAGGTGCCAACATGTTTCTGATTTGGGAGGAGAGGAAGGGAAGCAGAAGGGCTCCTTCACAGTTTTTGTGAGACAGTCTTTCAGGGGGTAGAAAAACTTGGCTCTTTGGCCTGGACACCTGGTGAAAAGCAGCCACAGTTATTCCTAGTTCACAGCTGCCCTTCGTGTACTGGGTCTTCTTGATCATATCCAGACAAGTCTCCTTGCAAAAGAATAAATTTGGGGATATCTGCTCCATGACCTACAGAGCCTAGTGATTTTTGCCAGTCTTTGACTAAAAATTTAAATCTAATCTTCATAAATGTTTTTAGGAGTGAATAATGGTTCGAACTCACAAACAATATATCCTATTTGCTTTATTTATTTAAAATTATTAAGTGTCTATTATTGAACCCCTGAGCTAGATGCTGAGGTGGCTCCAGGAAATGGAGAAGATTCTAGCCTGCAAAGAACTTAAGTTATAGTCATAGGAGGGACAAAGAATACAGATGGGTACAGTGGCAAGTGCCGTTGAGGGAGTAGTAAAATGTGTCTTGACGTAACAGAAGAGACCCAAGGCGTCTAAACCCACACACGCCTGCACACATATGTTGGAGAGGGAAGGCGACCTGTGGAGGGACTTCTAAGCACAGTCTTGAAGGAGAATAGGAGTTGGCAAGGGAAAGAAGCTGAAGCAGGTGCTTTAGGCAGAGGCCTCAGGACATCAACTGAAGCCTGTGAACCCAAGAGAAGCCATCTGTGTGGCAAACACTGAGCAATGGGCATAACTAGCGTGCGGCGGGCGAGAGAAGAGATGAAGCGGATCAGGATCACAAAGGGCCTCAAAGGCTTTGCAAGGAATTTGGGTGGGCAGCCACCAGGAAGGCTTAAGCAAGGGAGTGGGTGGCTAGATTTGTGTCTGAGAAATGCTGCTTTGCGGGATCGACTGGAGTGGGGCAAGAAGGCTTTGTAGGAATGTGTGCAAGTCATGACGGCCACTTGAACTGGAGAAGGGGCAGGTGGATGTGGAGAAATGGATGATTTCGAGAGCTCGGGGCAGCAGTATACTGCCGGGTTTCTGTTAGCGACTAAAATGCTCAGGGGTCACTCCAGTTGAACTGGGCTAACTGGGCTGCACGAAATAACCACACAAGAGACACAAATACCCTTTTCTTTGGGGTCGCTGTGACGGCTCCTCTGACCTTAAGGGTCTGCAGGAAGACAGAGAGCGAGAGCACTCGCTGACTCCTTTTATTGAGAAGCTATTCAAATGAGGCAAGGAGTCAGGTTTCAGGGGGCTGAGTCTATCTTCATGATGTCCACTGTCAGCAGGTTGACTGACACCTGGGTAGGCCACACCCAAGGGCACAGTAAGAGAAGGGGACACACACAAGGCACTTCCATGGAAGATTCTATCCTAAACAGGGCAAGGGGTTATATTACAAAGGAACAGGTGAGCATAGCTCCACCCAAGGGCTGTAGCAAGACACACCCATGCCAGAGACACCGACCCTCGACCCTCGAACCCAAGAAGGGTGGGGAATGCTCTGCCACATTTCTGCGACTGAGTGCCTCAGCACCCAGCCAAAGAGTGTGACTCAGTCAAGTGCAAGGTTGGTCTCCCACAGTATACATGGCACTTGGCTTCATTGGCTGCCTGTCTCTCTGCTCAGAGGGTTGATTTTTGGTCGCTCTGATTATTTTTTCACAGTCTAGATCATTCTGTTCACATGAGTACAATTGATTTATTTTTTATTTGTTTCCAAAGGTTGAGAAAAATGTTAGTCATTCGAATATATCTGTGATCATTAATGTAATATTCACTCCTTGTAGAGATTTGAAAAATACAGCAATACTGAAAGAATAAAATAAAAATTATCTGTAAGTCAGTGATTCGGAGACAATTGCTATTAACACCAATTTTTGCTTTATGGTCTTTTTTTTCTCGTATAATTGATCTATTTTAAGCTTTTATTGCAGAAAAATTTTAAATACATTAACAAATGGAGCAAATTGCGCAGTTAACCCAACATATCATTTCAGCTTCTAGAACCAGAAGTCTTCTGCCATTCTGCAGTCAAATTTTAAACATATGACCAGGTTTTCACATTTTCTTGTAATCTAAAAATTTAGCTTGTTGAATAGTTTTGTTTTTTGTAATCCTAGATATTTGGCAAGTGTTAGCCCTGTTATTATCATTATTATTTTTTTTATCCATTTTCATATGTTGTGTATATACCCACAGCTTTGAATAGGACAGTAAAAAACACTGGAGCCCTGTGGTTTACCACTGAGACCTGACAATAAAACACTGAGTCTCTACCTCCTTGGGGAAGATCAATACAGAGGATAACTATTTCCGGGAGAGACATATCCCCAGCGGGAAGTAGCAGCTTGTATTTTGACTCACTCACCATGGTCGTCTCAGCAATAGATCCGAAGCTGTTGATGAAAATGTTGCAGCTCACGTTCACGGGAGGACCTGCCAATCAAGAGAGATTCCTGCTTAGCCTCGGGCCATGGAGAAATCCACAGTATAGGACCTATTTCAGAACACTGACTTCAGGGACGGGTCCCCTTGGTGGAAGACCTCCTTACTTGCCTGCCACCCCACCCCCAAGCATGGGAGGGGTGGGGGGAGCCTCCATTTAACATCTCTATGCCAGACTTCCTTGTCCCCAGGTGAGCAGCAGGTATAGAACACCAGAGGCTGAGCTGAGATGTGCTTTCATTAACACAGGATGATTCATCATGCTGCCATATGGTTGAAATCCCTTCTCCAAACCCCACTGGCTGCCTCCTAATTTATGTCTGAAATGTATTTATGGCTCCAACATTTGGAGGCCATCTTGGGAATCGCAAGGAACAGCAAGTTCCTTGCCTTGAACTTATGAACTAAGAGTGACTGCCTGAAAGGGCGATGATAGGAATCACCAGTGGAGAATCCAGAGGGAATCTCAAGGAATGTCCACATCTTTGTTAAACACTTTCAAGGCAAGTTGTTTTTTTAATTTAATTTAATTTAATTTTTTTTTAATCTTACAGCCAAAGATAGGAAAGAAATGGAGGAATATTCACTGCATTGGTATCTCCTTGTTGGAGAGCATTCTGTCTAGCTGGAGCCCAATTTCTTTCTTTTATCATATTTATATAGCAGTTACCATTTACCAAGCAATATAGCATTTGCTGCTGTGCTAAGTTTTACTAAAGATCATCTCATTGCATTCTCCCAACAACTTCATGAGAAGGAATGGGTATGTTACTTCTCTTGCTGATGGGGAGACAGAGGCTCTGAGAGGTTAAATTATTTGTCCATGGCCACCACTGCTAATCAATGGTTGAGCCAGGGTTTGAGTTTAGATTTGTCTCCTGCCAAAGGTGATCATCGTAATGTCTACACTCTAAGAGAGATTTCAGGGGAAGGAAGAGGCATGCTAGAGTTACAGACACTGGCAGAATCCAGAATTTTAATCACTGGGCTTCCACATTTGCTGACAAGAGCACCAGTGTAAAATAATAAAAGAGAAATGCAAGACCTTGGGTATGGGTGATAAAAACAGCAGGAGTCGGGCTGGAGTTTGTAGCTAGAGAGCTTGCCTAGCATGTGTGAGGCACTGTGTTCTTGATTCTCAGCACTGCATGTAAATAAGTAAAATAAAGGTACATCAACAACTAAAAAAAATTAAATAAAACAAAACAGCAAGAGTCTAGGTGAGAAAGGTTCTGAAGAGTGAGACAGGGAAGACTTTGTAACAGTTATGACCTTGAGCTGAACTTGAGGGTGGTTAGAGCTTCCATAATAGGTCATAATCCTTCACAGGATGATTGTAATTTGCAGTTTTTGAAAATTTTTTAAAGACCAATTTCATGTTGATCCCCATGAGGGACTGAGGTAGGCAGAAAAGAATCATTGTCCCCACTTCATTTATGAGCACAGAGTTTTAATAACGGCCTCAGTCTCATTTAGCTAAAAAGTAGTGGGGGTGAAACTTTGGACTTGAACCAAAGTTTGCTGATAGTGGAAAGAAGGAAGTAAATCTCTGTCTGTCCTCTGGTATCCAATCCATTCCGTTCTTCTTTAAAAGGTGCCCCAATTATTGTACCCAGACTTAGCCAAGATCTCCTTCTGTTCTGAGATCTTGGTGCATAGGAGGAGACTTAGGCTTGGGTTAGAATCCGGGTTCTTCCTCTGCAGGAGTGTCAGGGCCTATGGAATTTAGGCATAACTCCAAGCACTCATTGGCTGTTTGACCTCAGGAGTGCCCCTCCCATTTGACAGGCCTCAGTTTCCCTAGCCATCTGGAGAGAGAGTAGCTCTTGAACTAGGAAGCCATTCTCAGCCCCAGAGGGTTGGGATTATCTTAGGGAAGCTCTCCACTAAAAATTTCTCTGCTTCAAGATCCTTTTGAATTTCAGAGTTACAAAGTTTCAGGGCTGGAAGATTTCTTACAGGTTACCTCAACCTTTGCGTTTAAAACAAATGTGCAGACCAGACTCTAATGGGCAGTAGAATTACCCAGGAAACTTGTTAAATTGCAGAATTCCTGGCCCAACCCCACATTTGGTGATGCCAAATCTCTGGAGATGAGCCCTGAGGCTATTGTTCAATGAGTTTCCTGGGTGATGCTCATGTATAGCCAGGTTTGGGGACCAATGCAATACAGCAGCTCTCCTCTCAAGACTGATGCCTTGGAACCTCCAGCAGGGGGATGCTCAGTCTTGAGCCCTTTTCCTAGCTGGATAGCTCTCTGTGTTATTTTTCTCCCCCTTCGTTGAGTGGAAATGTGCCTCATTGTTACTTCCACTTAAACAAAAGCTTGTTTTTTTTTTCTCCTTTGTTTAGCCTCAGACTTAGGTTTTTCTTTTCATTTAGCCTCATACCATTAAGATGCCCCAAAGAGTTACTGCCCATGGCTAGAAATGACATGCAGGGTTCCCACCCAGGCCCTGCAATTGTCTGGTACTGTGAAGCCCATATAAATTAGATCCTGATTTATGTGTGCAAGAGGGCGCCTGCCAAAAGGACCCCATGGGGAGGTGCGGTTCATTGACATAAATCTGAAATTAAATTATCTCAAGAAAATTACAATCAGGCTGCCTTTGGCAGCAGGATAATGTATATATTTCATTAAATATTAAAGTTTAATTTTGCTTTTGTGTGAGTGTTTGCATCGGGCTGTGCCCCTAATCCTGGGAGCCATCGTAATCCATGAATTCTTAGAAAAAGAGGCAGAACATCAGAGCTGGAAAGGCCTAGTCCTACTGGCTAATTTTACAGATGCTGAAAAACAGAGGCCCAGATACAGTGAATGATTTATTCAGGGTCACACGCATCATGTACATGGGGGGGGGGAGGATTAGAGTCCAGTTCTAGTGCTTTATAGCTGCAGTATGATTTGCATTACCGTTGGGCTCTGTGGACCATGCCTGTGGTTCCTGGCCACCCCTAGCTTTAAGAGCTGGGAAATTTCTGATGCCTTAAGGAAGCTGCCGAGTGGTTTATCATTCTGCAGAGTTAAAAAAGAAAAAAAAAGAATGCTGGCTTCTCCCTGTGTGTTGAGATGTTGGGGGCCTGACCTATGGCCTTTTCAGGAGCCCTGTGGTGTGTCTAACGCTTTGGGGAAACTTTTTTGTGCCTAAGTGGAAATGCAAAGGGGATTGTGGGGCTCAGTGGTGGGATATCGCTTCTTACCAGCTTTTTAACTCTCACCACAGGGAAAGTAGCAAACCCGTCCTTCAGTTCCTGAGGTGAGGCTCCAGGAAGCTGTACCTCACCTTGAGCGAGGAGGAGGGCCAAGGGGTTAGAGCCCATGTAGGGTTGAGAGAGGCCAAGGAGATTTATCTAGGTCTGTTGATTTTGGGTTCAAGTATTGTGAGTAAGATTCTCAGAGTGGGCAGGGGAGGGGCCCTGATTCAGTGGTCTGGATAAAATAAAATGTTATTTCTTTTGTTTTTTCCTGTGGTGCTGGGGATTGGACCCAGGGCAAGTGCTCTACCAACTGAGCTATATCCCCAGTCATAACATTTTTATTTCTTAAAAGTATTTCCGCTAAGTAAGTAAGTAAATAAATGAGTAAACAAGTGTTAGATAAAGAAGGGAATCATAGTAGCTGGATTAAGATCCTGGTCTTGACAGCATGGTTTGGGAAAGTCATTTAACAGCTCTAAGCCTTCACCTCGCCTATGTGCTGACTCACTGGGTCACTCACTCCTTCATGGAAAGTTTATTGAGGGCCTTTCCTGTGCCCGGATAAGTGACCCACCCTGGGCACACCCTCATGGAACGAATGAAGGAATCTTTGTCAGGAGAGCAAGACCATGACCCCAGAGGATGAAGTTCTAAGAGAGTCCACCAGGGGGCGTGGTGGACTGGAATTCCTAAGAAACCACTGGTGGTAAAGGATGGGACCTGGTGGGGAGGCTTATAACCCATTCTCCTTGGGTTCGGTTTAGTCAATGATATTTTTAAAGGTGGTGATTTAATTGTAAACTTAGAGAATATTGGATAAAACCCTAGATTTAAGTCCTATGTCAAGGCATGGCATCCCAGGGCCCACATTCCTTCCTGCCAGGAGCCACAGGCAGGAGTTAAAGAGAGGCCACCCTTCGATAAGCTTACGTCTTCTGATTTTTTTTTCTCCTCATACTGTTTCATTCATGAGAAATTCTTGCCTGGCCCATCAGGGTATTTGAGATTGTGACCCTGGTGAAGAACTGGGTCAACGGACTGGGTCAACTGTGCTATGCCGGCAACCTCAGGCCTGACTCACCCATCTTGTTAATGATGATGGAAAATATGGCCTCAGAGGCAAGGGGCAGGGGCAGCGGTAGTGTAGGAGTGTTAAGGTGAACAGAGTTGGGGTGGGGCAAGCACAAACCTAAGTGCATCTCATGGACTGTTTTCTATTTGCAGAGACTTGTGGATAGAGCCCTCTGAGAAGGGGACTCAGAGAACAGGGGGAACCTGAGCAAATATCAGAAAACCATTACAGCTGTCACATCCCTTGTTTGCTCTTGGATTGGAGCCCAGAGGAGCTGAGGAAGGGCATCCGGAATCAGGAGTTGGTTTGGAGGTTGACCTGCAGGTCCCTGGAGTAAGATTTTTGCAGGGTTGCTAGGAGGAAGGTCATTAAGACCCCCAGACTTGAAGGAGGCAGTTTAAGGTGATTACACCTTCAAGGCCTCAGTAGACATAGAGAACTGTTCTCTTGTTATAGACATTGAGATCTCAAGGCCTATGAGAGCTCAGAGAACCTTCTCAGATCGCCTGGTCTAGAGTTTGCAATTTGACAAACCACAGGTGTATCTAGGTCGCAGTTCAAAGCCAGTCTCAGCAAAAGTGAGGTGCTAAGCAACTCAGTGAGGCCCTGTCTCTAAATAAAATACAAAATAGGGCTGGGGATGTCGCTCAGTGGTTGAGTGCCCCTGAGTTCAATCCCTGGTACTCCCTCCACCCCCAAAGAGTAAATTTGTGCCTGAGCCTAAACTAGAACCTATTTTTCCACATTCTGTGTTTATCCTCTGTCTACACCAGAAGTAGCAAATAGATATTAATGTACTTATTGACTTCTAGTAGCCAGAAGTACGGTTGAGTCAGATTCTCTGAGGCTTTGTCTGGGCTTGGTGGGAGAGGAGACTGAATTGATTAGCAATGTCTGTCCTGGGTACAGAAAGAGTCATGGGATTTTACTATCTGCATAAATACCATGTTGTAATTTGGGAAAGCATTTTCTTATGGATCTGAAAGGAATTTTTTTTCTCTACCTTTAAAATTGGGCCTGATCCTGGCATCATATCCAGAAGTCCTGCCCATCAGCTTATCCAGGAAATCCGAGGGTGACATTGGCTTGGGCGCAGAGCGGGCAGCTTCAGCCTCCTTAGAAGCAGCAAGGCTAAGAAGAGCAAGAGAAAAGCAAAGGTTAACGGTGACCCTTTCTCATGTGGTGATCAGATCCCAGCTTTGTCCAGCCCTGTGGAACCTCTGGAGTGTTCTAGCCCCAGGAACAGTCATATGGTCTCTAATGAAGGACGGCCCAGGCTAAATTGTTTACCCAACCCAAATATATAAACCACTGTGGGATTCTGGCAGGCAGCCAAGTGTCTGACTGATGCTGAGAAACTACCGACTTCTGTAAGGTGTCATCTCTGGGATTTGGAGGAAATCACACTTGGCTACTGTGTTTCCCTAGGGGGTAAGATTGAAGGGTTAACCCTTTGACACCCTCTGCCTGGGTATCTGCCCTCTCATAGGTCCATGGAGCAGATAACTGAACGAACCTTGGACAGGGAATTATCCAGGCTCTCTCTCCCAAGGTGTCTTTTTAGAATCAGTCACTGAGTTAAAAAAAGAAAAAAAAAAGTTTCCAATGTCAAATGCATTTGGTAATACAAATCGAACCAGGCATCCTCACCTCAGGTCTACACAGAGCTTTTAACAAATTTATATGTGGGTGCTTCTGGGGCTACTATCTCATGCAACATGCATTTTAAAAAGTGCTTAATTGGAAAAGTTGAGACCCAGCTCACAGGAGAAACTAACATAGATTCCAGAGTCAATCCGTGGTCTTTGTCTCAAGAGTTGGGTACTTTGAACTCAAACTCCTGGGAATGCCTCACATGGTTTCTGTCCCCCACTCCCTCAGCAAAGCAGTTTCACATCCTCACAGTCTGAATCACTCATGTCTAGGAACAGTGACCTTCCACCTGACAACCTCTCAAAGGTGCACAGATTTCAATAAAGTCAAGATCGGAGGCTCCAGGTTGAAGAACAATCGTTGGGTTGCTTGGGCCACTGAACTTTCCTAATCCTGAAATGACCCCCAGGGCAGAGCCAGAGCCCGATGCAACCCGGAGCTCTGTGCTTGTGGGGCTGATGTGTTGGAGGGAGCGTGGGGAGAGAGGTGTGTCAGGGAATTAAGTAGGACATGGCGGTCCCCAAGGATTCCTTTTCAACTTGTTCTTCACGCCAGCTCCCTTTCTGATCTCCTCAGTTGTAAGTGTTCAAGGGGTCTGCTCTAAAGGATGACTCACAAGTCTCTATCTCAACTCTGGGCTCTCCCTTGAAGGCCTCTTTCCTCAGTTGCAAACACCTGCAGGCCCTGTGCCTCAAGTCCACCTGTGACAGCCACAGTTTCCTTCCCAAACTTGCCCTTCCAGATCCCAGTTTCCCCAGAGGACACCAATGTATCCCTGTTCTCTAGGACTAGAAGACCCTCTCTTGTCCCCCTCTCCTGGCTCATCCCTCCTCTAGCAGGTCCTGTCAAGGCACAAGCCAGGTCACTTTGCAGCATCAGTATTTGTGCTTGTCTTACAAGAGTTGGAAATCGTGGTGGTTTTATTTATTATTTGTTCTCTTAACCCCCCACGGTGTCTACCGGGATGTCTCACACTTAATTGGTGCTCGGTAATTGCACGGTGAATGAATGAATGAATAAGATGCCACTTTAATCAAATATCCTGGCTAGTAGGAAGCGTTCATAAATATTTATATATGGATTAACGATTTAAAAATAATGACACTATTTTACACAGTCATGAAAATACTGACACCATCTGGTATTCTTTTGAGGATTCAGAAGGTATTCTAGGATTAGACAATCTGAAGATACCTTATGCATACCCTGAAGAGCTAGTTTTGATGGACAGGATGAGGGAAAGGTGCATTTTTCTATGTGTGTGACTATGGATGCAGGTGAATTTCTGAGATGTAGGTCTCTAGGTGACCTGGGTATGATGTGTGTCATGTGTACAAATGGATAGATGTGCAGTATGTGTGCCGGGGTTAGAGCATGCACAGGAGTGTTTGTGGCTGTGCGGTGGATTGTTACATAAATATGTGCAAAACTATGGATACCTGTGTTTGTGATAAGGGTGGCATTTCGTATGGGCATTTTTGTGTGTGTATGTGGGGTATACGGTATAAATATATAAAATGCCTTTGTAGATTTTGTATCTTCGGTGTGTTTGTTTTTGAATGTACTGTGAGATATAAGATAGCGCAGAAGAAGAAAACAGGTGATTTGAAATCAGTTCTACCTCAGTTATTAGTTAGGTGTGTTACCTGGGGAAAGCGAAGTAACCTCTCTGAACTTCAGTTTTCTCATCTATCACATTAGCTTCATACAAGGAGTATCTGAAATAGCACTGTAAATAATATCCAGGACAGTTCTTGGAACACAGGAGGCCCTCCATACAGTCTTCTTTATGCTGTGTGTGTGTGTGTGTATGTGTGTGTGTGTATGTGAGGGCTTCTCCTCTCACACTGCTCCCAGGTGCACCAAGGACCTGCATGGCTAAGCCCTCTCTCAGGCCCAGTGCTATCAGCACCACAGTTTCAGCCTTTCCCTATTCAGCAGGAGACTCCTGGCTACTCTGCAGCTCTGGGGAGTAAAGGGGTCCAGGCATACAGTGGGTGATGTGAGACTCTTCTGCTTCTGATTCTCCCCTAGAACCTCTTTCAGAGTGGCAGTTTGATAATCAGATTCGGGGACATAGCACTCCTCCCAGCAGCTACTAGAGCACAAGCCATCTCTTGGCTCTGAGGCCTCTTTCATAAGCCTGAATCCTATTAGGCGGTACAGTGGGAGAATGAATTCGTCCCCAATTATCCCAGACCATTTGCTATTAGCATAACGTGCCATTTAATACTGGGATCCTCCACCACCGGCCGCCGAGTCCTCTAGTTATTCTAGCTCACGTGTCTGCAGCAAGGTATTTGCAGTCTAGTCACCTGGCCATTGGCTCACTGAAAATCCTGAGGTGAACCGCTGAGGTGAACCGGAGAGAACTCTGAGAGGTTAGATAACTGGCTCGGGTCGCACAGCACTTTCTTTCTTGATTTATTTTGGTACCAGGGATTGAACCCAGAAGTGCTTAACCACTGAGCCACATTCCCAGACCTTTCTTATATTTTATTTAGAGACAGGATCTGACTGAGTTCTTTAGGGCCTCACTGAGTAGCTGAGGCTGGATTTGAATTCGAGATCCTCCTGCCTCAGCCTCCCGAGCAACTGGGATTATAGGTGTGCGCCACCGCGCCCGGCCACACAGCACTTTAATGAGAGAAGGGATAAGAACTCAGATTTTCAAGAGCTGACTTATAGAAATGCTACATACGACATAAGGAAAGGCCTTTTGTAAATGGTGAAGACTGTAAATCAGGATAGCTGCTATGATTGTTATTTGTTTTTTAATCTTTCTTTTTTTTCCATATGTTTATTGGTGCACTGTAGCTGTAAATAATGGTGGGATTTGTTGTGTTGTTCCGTATTCATATATGCCACAATAAGACAATATGATCTGGCCAATATCATTCCCCGGTATTTCCCCTTTCTCTTTCCTCCTCCTTCTTCCTGGACTCTTTCCTCAACTAATCTCCCTTCAATTTTCATGAGATTCCCCCCAAAACCTCTCTTTACCTTTTTCTTCTCTAGCTTCCCCATGAGAGAGAAGACATGAGACCCTCGACCTTCTGAGTTTGGCTTATTTCACTTAACGAAATGGTCTCAAGTTCCATACATTTTCCAGCAAATGACATAATTTCATTCTTGTTTTTTCATGATTGACTAAAACTCCACTGTGTATTTGTACCACCTTCTCTTTATCCATTCCTCCAAGGATCAGATGGGTGGTTCTGTGGTTTGGCTATTGAGAATTGTGCTGCTCTAAAGATGGGTGTGCGTGTTATCACTGTAGTATGGTGACTTTAATTCTTCAGGATAAATACCAAGGAATGGCAAAGTTGGGTCTTATGGTAGTTCTATGCGTGGCCTTTTGAGGAAATTTTATACTGATTTCCATAGTGGTTGTACTAATTTACAACTCCACCAAGAGTGTAGAAGTGTACCTTTTCCTCCACATTCTTTTTTTAAATTTGTTTTAATTAGTGACACATGACAGTACAATGATCTCCAGTTCAATCCATTTACCAGTAAGCACTATAATTTCATTCTTCATCACTGAGTAGTACTCCATTGAGTATGTGTACCACATTTTCTTTATCTATTCATCTATTGAAGGGTACCTAGGTTGGTTCCATAGCTTAGCTATTGTGAATTGAGCTGTTACAAACATTGATGTGGCCGTGTCACCACAGTATGCTGAGTTTAAGCCCTTTGGGTGTATATATTGAGAAGTGGAATAACTGGGTCAAGGGTGGTTCCATTCCAAGATTCTCCATCTTTCTTTCCAGAGTGGTTACACCAATTTGCAGTCCCACCAGAAATGTATTCCTACATCCTCACCAACATTTATTGTTATTTGTATTCTTGATAATTGCCATTCTGACTGGAGTGAGATGAAATCTCAGTGTAGTTTTAATTTGCATTTTCTAATTGCTAGAGATGTTGAACATTTTTTTATATATTTGTTGATGGATCATATTTCTTCTTCTGTGAAGTGTTCCAGCATCTATTATTGTTTGTGTTCTTGATGGCTGCCTTTCTAATTGGTGGGAGATGAAATCTCAGTGTAGTTTTGATTTGCATTTCCCTAATTGCTAAAGATGTTGAACATATTTTCATATATTTGTTGACCATTTGTATTTTTTTCTTTTCAAAAGTGAGGGGATTGGGATGATCTCCTAAGAGTCCTTTTCAAAAGAGTCTGTTCAGTTCATTTTCCCATTTATTAATTAGGTTCTAAGTTGGGTTTTTTTTTTTTGAGTTCTTTGTATATTCTGAATATGAATCCTCTGTCAGAAGAGTAGCTAGCAAAGGTTTTCTCCTATTCTGTAAGTTCTCTCTTCACATCCTAATTGTTTCCTTTGCTGTGCAGAAGCTTTCAACTTGATGCCATCCCATTTATTAACTCTTGGCATTATTTCCTGAGCTTTAGGAGTCCCTATCGAGAAAGTCATTGTGTACACCTATATACTGGAGAGTTGACCCTATGT